CCTTCTAAAATAATAGGACAAGCACTTCACAAAGTAATATATATATACATATACATACTTTTCATAATAGAGTGAGAAATAACAAATCTTTAATTATTATTATTAAAAGAATAAAAATAAGAGAACAAGCTAAAAGCATAATAAAATTAAGAATGTAAGATGACAAAGGAAACAAATGAAAAAGAAGATGAAACTTTATATTTTTACTTTCTTTCAAATAATAGGCGAAAAATGACTTCACGGGAAGAATAGGAAAAAAATTAAAAGCGATTATAGCAAATAAAGACAAAATTATGACATACTGCTGCTGCATTCTATCATGAAATCAGCAACTCAAAAAATTTTTAAAGTATAAAAAGGCTAGCACTCAAATTCAACTAACATCAAAAAAAAAAAATTTGCACAACACACATCATACAAGACAAAGAAACGATAAAGAATAAATCATCTAATGAATTGCCTAAAATTGACAAGGCATTCTCCTAAGTTGCCAGTCACTTGAAAAGCACCAAGATTGCACTCTTTCCTTTGAAATGAATGGTTAGGAAAGGTGCATGGCAGAATAGAAGTTTGTTGGGTCAACTAAATACCTCTACAAATATGAAATGTATTTTATGTCTGCATTTAGGGGTGTCAAAAACTGACACAACACGGAAACCTGACACGAACCCGACCCAAAACTTTCGGGTTAGGGTCGACCCATTTTCCGCCCGTTCGAAAAACTGGTCGGGTTCGTTCCCAATTTTTGACCCGTTTGAATTTCAAGTCAGGTTCAGGTCAACTCGACAACCCGATGCTAACTTGAATTGACCAGCACCGTTTTGATTAGGGCAAGCGTAAGTAGAGAGAGCACGCGGGACTCGAGCAGCGGGCTGTTGCTTGTAAGTGGCTTATACTTCATTTTGCTTCGCATTAGGGATTTAGGCATTTAGCGGCCGCTCGCTCGTTCTGTCTTCGTTAGTTTGTCTGTCTAAGGTTTCTTTGCGGGAGCTCTCCTCGCTTACGTTCCGTCTCATCCCTTCATTCCTCTTCTAATTCCTTCAGCTTATCAACTCATCCATTGCTTAGCAACAAGAAATTACACTGTTTGTATCTCATTTCTATTCTAATTTTTTGATATTTTAGAAGTTGAAGCATGGAAATTTTGTGTGGTTATTGTTCGCTAGGGTTTTTTCGTTTTCTTTAATGCTTACCATGTTGAAATTTTTACATAGTTATTTAGTCTAATATTTTGTTTATATCACGTCCAAAAAAAGATTGGTCATGTGGTCTCAATTTTGGCCGTTTTGCATAAGCAATTAGAGCATCAATGCTTCATTTTTTTTTTCCATTTCTCATTATGATCTTTTAGGGCTTTGCAATTTTTTGCAATTCTAACTTCTTGTTAGTTGACATAGTTGGTAGTTATTTGGTTATTTCCTTTATACCTTTGGCCCTTTATCCATTTTTGGTTGGAATTGAAGTATTGGTGTATAGTTATTTGAAAGGCATGTTTAAGATGTTCAGCTATTCACTGAAAATCGATTATTGGTTTACATTTTCAGTGCTGGAATTACTCAAATGTGTTGGTATTGTCTGTGGTGTTATTGTTTTCTTTGCACGCTTGGGTTTTTCTTTTAGATTTGTGTTGGTATTGCAATTCATTTGTAAATTTTAAATTGTATATTTATAATGTATTATGCAGTATGTAAAAATGTAAAATTGTAATGTATCATTTGTACAATACTTGTAAGATTTTAATGTAATTTACCTTGCCAAATGCATGTAATTTTTTAAAATTAAATTCTGTCATTTGCATCACTCAATTGGTTACGGGTTCGGGTTGAGAAAAGTCACCCGATTCTCAAACCGGGTATGGTTCGGGTCAGCTCAAAATCTAACCGGTCAAAGTCGGATTGGACCCGGACCCGAACCCGACTTGTTGACACAATTTGACACCCATATCTGCATTTTAATAGAAAGTGGATGCACTTTCAATAAAATCCGTGGATGAAACACGAAAAATTGGTAAGAAGAACGCCTCAATTTTTTTTTTATTGAAAGAGCTATAAAGAGAAATGCAAGATACAATTGGATCTTCAATTGGAGAGAAAGATCTGACTCTCTCAAATCCCTAGCCGCAGCTAGAGCCTAAATAATCTAAGAAAAAACTTAATCAACAAACATCCAAAACATCATATGAAATCACCCCATAGTTAGCCTTAAATATGATCCCATAATTCCCTCCCAAATCAATCCTTTTTTCCTAAATAAATCCCTTATAGATTTGAATTCAAATTAGATTTATTTTCCTAATTAATTCTCTCTCAATTATAATTAAAACTTTCCTTAACAATCCCCCTTTAACTCCTCATTTTTCCTCAATAATTCCCTCTTAGATTTTAAATTCAAATTAGAACGCTTGCCCAAAATAATTCCCTCCTAATTATAATAAAAATAATTCCTAAACAATTCCCCTTTGATTCAGAACCTTCCTAAATAGTTTGCTCTTGATTAAACAAATTTCTAATTCCCCCCCAATAAAATCGGTTGGTCAATCACATTTTACTCAACCAATTATTGCATAACTCCCTGGGTAATGCAAGTTTGTCTCACTTCATAAATTAATTAATTGTGCTCTCACTCTGAACCAATTTCTCACTACCTAAAATATATAGTAAAGAACCTTTCATGGTGGAGGTCTTTCTCAAATTGCTCATGCCTCTTTTAAAAGTCTTCGCCACCTCTACATCCCCTCCTCTTCCCCTCTCTGACCCTGTCCACTCACCTTCTTCATCACTCTCCTCCTCCATCCCTCCCACTTCTCTCGGTCAGTGCTGAGAATTGGTGGATGTATGCAGATTGATCATTGAACAAAAATGTTTCAAGTCTCACACAAGTTGATAAGATAAATTCTTTAATAAGGGAAACAGCAATTCATAACGTGTCTTTGCATCTGGCTTTATCTGTTCAAAGAAATAGTTAAACCCACACGTGCTACTTTGAAATCTTCTTAACAAAAAGTGAGCGGAGGATAAAAAAAAAGCTCATCTTAAATAGATAGTAAAAGATTAATGATGATAATTTTCTTATATGAAAAAACTTAGATAAATCGATGCAATTACACTAATCATGAAATCCAATGCAATTTAATTGTCCATGTATATGCATTCATTCTGCAAAAACAAACAAATTGCCATTCATAATAACCATGCAAGAAATTTTTAGTAACAATTCCATGATTTGAAGGAATACTTCTTAGTTCTTGATAAAAGCCTAGAAAGTTGCGCTAAGATGTACAAGTTCAATTTGATCTTGCTTCAAATTTACAAGATACGCTAAGTGATCAAAATTGTCTACCTTCAAGATAACTAGTTCTCATTTCAACACAATAGGCGATAATTAACTTCATTCTGTGGATTGGGCTTTTATCTTGTCACGTAGCAAGGATTTCAAGTTTTTTACACGTGTCTGCTCCAATGGTAACAGCCAGATGCATCTAAAATTTTTGCTAAGTGCCAAAAGGCCCAAAACTGATTATCCCGTCTGTTTTTTTTTTTTTTTTTTAAAATCCATCCTTCAGTTTAGCAAAATTCCCAAAGCAGGAACGTGGCTGATGAATTATTAACATTAAAGAGTCATTAAGCCTCCCACCAATTTTGCTAAACTGAAGGATGGATTTTCAACATGACATAACCGAGCATGTAATACATTCTTGCATAACCGAGCAGAAAAAATGGCCAGCGATCCAATAATTCAAATCAAAGGTGATTTTTTTCATTTTCAACTGAAACATACTATTCTCACTCTGAATATTTCTAAATTTAGGCTTTCTTACAAATTCTTCAATTAAACCAACTGAATACCATGCAAGGAAACCAATTAAGTCAGGCTGATTTCTCATTTTTTATTGGCATAAGCCATAAGTATAGTTGTTACTCTAAAACATTTATATAGCCTAAGCTTTCTTAAGAACTCGGCTAGCAATCCAACTTTAAACTGAATTTCTACGAATTCAGAAATCTTTAATTTGATAAATTTTATAATTGAATTAAAATACAAAAGATTGGATTGATAAAACTTGATAACTAAGTTACTTTTCAGTAATAAGCACAAAACTTAACACGACCGTGGTTTAAAATAGTGAAAGAGATTGATTAGGAAGTTAATAGCAAGCGATGTAAAGCAACTTAAACAAATCTGAAGAATGTGATAGCCTTAACTAGTTCTAAAACTGAGATTAGGTTTGACTAGGGGTGTAAACGAGTCGAGTCGAGTCGAGTCGAGTTTAGGCCCTTATCGATCTCGTCTCGTTAGTTGAAAAGCGAGCTCGAACTCGAGCTCGTCTCACTGTAAACGAGCTCGAGCTAGACTCGTGAGCTCGATAAGCTCGATTTGCAAACCCATAAACGAGTAAAGCTCGAGCCGGCTCGGCTCACTTACACACCCCAAGGTTTGACAAGTGATGTAGAATTTGAATAGGAAGCCAGATAATTGGTGAAAAAGTATCTCTAAAGAAGATAAATAACCCATATTTAATATATGCTAGAGTTAAGGGATGATAGAAAGTTCAAATTGTCATATACATTAAAAATAATGATAATAAATAACATGACATAATAGAGGATAGAGAGTTAAAAGATAAAATTATTAAAGTTATAAGTGATATGGTGATTACTAAGTTAATTCTGTATGAGTAAATCAAAAATTGGCGCTTATGATCTTTAAGTAAAATTATAATTAGTTTTAAAAGCTAATTTTATGACAAAATAAATGGAATCTATAAAATATGCCTAGAAAGGCAACGGCACAATGAATTTGCATTCAAAGCAAAATGCTGATGATAAGGTATCACTGCATCCAAGCCAATGGTCATGATCATCATGCTAGCTAATACCGACAGAAAAAAAGGTACCATTGCATCCAGATCTTACGTCATGCTTTAAGGGAATTCAAATAAGCTGGTAAGCTTAAGTAATCAAAATCATTACTCACAAGTGGTCTACGACAAGAAGACCTACCTTTCTTTTTTCTTCTTTTTCTCTCTCTGGATCGATGTCCGTGATGCAATTTTTAACCTTGTAGACCTTTTTATGCCTTGAATCTACTAGGGCGGTCAATAGACGATGAGACTTTGAAGATAAGGAAGATGGCATAAATTTCATTTTCCGCAAGAGCCTCCCTTGTGATTGTAAAATTCCCTGATTTTATAGGATATTCTGACAAATTAATACTAAAAAGATGACTTAAATGCGCTATATAAGATAAAGAAAAACCATTTGAAATTTCAATATAATTTTGATGAGAAGCTTGCTTCAAACATAGCTGTATCGATTTTGATAAGAACCTTTCCATGTCTAAGAAAAAGATGGGCTTGATCATGGTCTGCCTCCTGAACAGATATGTCAAGAACTTCATTCCCAATCAACAGCTGTAAACTCCCATCACTCCATTGAACAAAACGTGCATTGCTTTCATACTGCAACACAACATGCAAAGATATGTTGAGCATTTAATAACAGTAAAAAAACAACAGCATGCATTTCAAATAAATTTAAACTGGAATTCACAAAATAATAATGAAAGTATAAGACTTTCTAGATGAGCAATTAAACTAATTGCTAAGATTACATTGATTATGGTCTGAATTAAAGATAAATTTTACGTTCAAGTGCATAGTCAAATATTTGTGAATTCAAGTTTATATAAGAAAGATTCAAAAGGATTTGTCACAGTCTAACATCACCGCATACTTGCTTGATATCAGCTAAAGAGGGAAGGCCCGCGTGCTTGGATAAAATATTAATACAGACAAATCAAATAAAAGTGAATCAACAAGATCTGCTGGAAAGTTTGCAAATTTCTGTGTCACAGAGAGTTTCAACAAAAGAAGGCATTTTAATAAGCAGCACTGACAGGCTCGTTTGCAGTAAATTAGTGGGACTAGGTGGCCGTTTGGTTGGATGAAAAAAATATGCAAAATAAAATTGAATAAAATGTAAAATGAAAGCAGTGCATTTGAAAGTTTTGAAGTCCTTAGGCTCAGTGTAAAATAAATACATGCGATTTTGTTGGCTCAAGAAAAATGGCACGAATGCATGAATCCCGCTTTGCAGATATAGGATTTCATCTTCCACGGGTCAAAATGTAATTAACTAGATTTCCCCTGAGGCTAATGTCAGGGTTTAATTAGATATGGGTCTTTATTTCCCACGAGTGCAATCACTCATCGTTAATCATCCCTCTTAACACATAAGAAGAACTCTCGATTAAGGATGAATAATTTTTAGGTGTTTAGTCTCAATAGTGGGGTAAATGGAGATAAACCTATCAACATCCCATGGTTCCGTCGTCCTGGGTATACCAAATGTTTCAATCTACCAACACTAATAATCATTGACCGTAGTGTCAAGGGAATATGATTAGTAGTCATGGGTTGCCTCCTCTCAGGGATCCCGAGTAGATTGAGGTGGTTAGATGTGAGTTTTAATTTTATTTGAGAGTTTTGGGGTTTGCATCAATTAGAATACTCATAAATTAATTTGGTTTGAGTTTTATAACTTCATTAGATGTTACCCAGAAGTTTGAATTAAAGCAGGTCTTACAGCTTCTATTAGAAGTAGCACAAGTTTGAATTTGGGTCGATACTTACGGCTTTCATTGAAAGTAGCCCGTAAAGCTGATCTTCCAACCTAGCTCTACAACAAGGCTGCCCATTTGGTTTTGAATTTGGTTGACAGCTCTTATGACTCCCTTAAAATTTATTTGTAGGTTTAATTTGGAGCGAGACTTACGACTCTGCTTAGGAGTTGTCTGTTACTGGGTCTTACAACCTAGCTCTACAACAAGGTAGCTCAGGTATTTAATTGTTTGAGTAGGTCTTACAACTTCCCTTTAGAGGACAATAGTTGTTTCTGAGCCTAACATTAGACTGTGATTTTAAATTGTTTAATAGAAATTTGTTTATTAGTTCGACACTTACTTGCTAACAGTTGACGTTGTGTGACATCAGTGTCTTTGCTACAGTGGTTTTTTTTCTTTTTAGTATCGTAGATTGTACTAGTAATTATTTTATCAGTAGCATGTTCTACTTTTAGTAGCCTGCTCTTTTTCCTGCTTTAAAATTTTGATTTCGATGCTAATAAATTTTATTTGCTTATTTGCAAGAGTTTCTACTACTTGAGCTTTGTTCAGGAGCATTGAAGAGTTGTACAGGGGTTGTGTTTAAGTGTGTTGAGAGTGTTGTGTTGTTTGTTGTGAGTTGAGTTTCTGTTAAGAATTTGGAAAATAGTGTTTGTGGGTTTTAGTGTTGAGTTGAGAGTTGTTTGTACATGAGTTAGGTTTGTGAGTTTGGAGAGTTTTGTTTGAGAGCATTATTTGTTGTGTTGAGTTGACTTGAGTTTGAGTGAGAGTATCAAGTTGGAGAGTTGTTTGTACAAGGGTTGGGTTTGTGAGTTGAGCTGTGTTGAGAGTTATCTGTAAAGGTCTGATTAGTAGAAAAGCAACATTTCTTTTTCCACATTAAAGTAAAAGAAAACTCACCAAAGTAGCTCTCTCCACATTAATTGATTAATTAATCAATTTAATTAATTAATTTTTTTTATTTTAATCAACCAATTAAATATAAATTTCATTGCTCTCAATTTTTTTTAAATGCTCACGGATTTGAAATGCCTTCGTATTTTAAATTAACCAATTAATTAATTTTGACTAATCAATTAATGAGATGATTTGTTACAAGCCTTGCTATTTCATTAGCTAGAGGAAGAGATGTTATGTTTCGACAGTCAGAGGCCTCTAATATTTCAAATGGAATAGTATTTGAAATGCCGCGACAATTCAAAGTCTTTCGCTCAATGTTATCTATATCGGAATCTTTTAAAGAGATGACTCATTTGGAGACATTTGAAATACTTCAAGATAGTCTTGGAACTAAAATGATGTCCAACAAGTTAAGAGAAAGATGAGTAGGAAAAAAGTAAATGGGAGAACAAGCTCGCATCTTTGACTTATGGAAATTTTGGTTTCTCTGACTTATGAAAATTCTGGTAGTAAGTTCTTAGTAACAACTAAATGAACTTAATTGCAATGATGATTGCAAAGGTCGTTCGAGGGCCTAGAGGATAAGTGTTTGCAACTTATCAAACTCAATTAATCAATTATTTTGATTAACTTTAATCAATTAATTTTTATGAAATATTAATTAACTAAATTAGTTAATTAATATTGAAAAATCAATTTTAACATTTTAATTGAATTAATGTTCAAATTGAATTACCATCTAGATTTCTGAAGCAATTTTAGCAACCACCCGGCATCCCCTTCCCTCGCGGGGAGGTTGGGGTGGCACTTATCATTGTTTCTTCCCATCCGTAGGGTCTTCGAATTTAAAAAATCATCAGCCCAGATTAGAGATTGATGGCACGGGTCTTCGAATTTTAAATCGTCCAACCAAAATCAAAGATCGATTGTGTAGGGTCTTCGAATTAAAACCATCTCGAACAAATCTAAGATCGATGGCGCAAGATCTTCAATTGAAATTCTCCTCGACCGAATTTAAAATCAACGGTACGAGATCTTGATTTGAATTTCCTCAAGGCTGGATTTAAAATCAACAGCACAGGTCTTGAAAAATGAAAATCATCCATCCAGATCAACAATTATGGCGTGGGTCTTCAAAATTCAAAACCATCCGCCCAGATCAAAGATCAATGGCACGTTTCTTCAACAGATACATGTTTGATGTATTTCCAAAAGAGGATTGATTTAATTATATCGCAATTTGCTGAACTATTTAAATACATATTGTTAACTTGGAGCGATTTTATATACATATTGCTATTTTTTTTCTTCCAGTTTTGAAACAAATGTTGTCCACTCATTTTGCCAAACTCAGGAGTTTTAAAAATTGTGCATGAGTAATTGAAGGAGATCAAATAAGAGTCATGGAAGTGTGGATAAGGAACAGAACTAAGTAAACGTGCTCTAGAGAAATTTGAAGTGGCTAGAGCCGCTCCTATTGTGCCTATGTGCGGATTATTACCGGAGCACGCATTGACGGGGCAAGGCAGCACAAGAGGTGAAGGCTAGGGATCGGACGTGAGAGATGCGAGTGAAGGAAGACGAGAAGCATTGGCGTGTTTCGATCGGGTTGGCGAGAACAACAAATTAGTCGTGTGGGTTTGAAGGTTTGGAAAAGAAGGATTAGTCGGCATGTGGGGTGTCCGATCGTGGAAGCCGTCGAAGCCACGAGTTGTTCTCGTGTGGATTCAGACATACATTAGGTAGTTGTGCAGGCTTCAGTCAATCAAACCGAAGATAGAGGATGCAGGGTCAGTTGGAGAACAAATGCGGGATTGAGAGCATAAGTTCCTTCTTTTTTTTTCTTATAGACTAGATCGTTGAAAGGAAGTTATGGCAACAAAGAGTTGTCTAGTTTCACACTTAACTGCTGTTAGTGGGAGTCTGGGACTGATCAACGGTATATTGATTAGTTCGTGGAAAGATGCATATGTTTGATTTTCTTTTTCATTATTTGTTTCATTCATTTTCATATTTATTTCATTTTTTTTTAGACAACATATTTTTTTTTATTTAACTTGAATTAAAATGAATACAATGTAAGCCCAAAGATGGCGGTGATCGATGGCTAGAAGGTGACATGTTGTAGTGGCGGCAGTGATGGAGGTAGCTTGTAGTGGAGAATTTATGGTGTATTTGGTATGAATTATAAATAATTAAAAAATTTAATTTGCATTCTTTTTTCTTTAGATCAAATATCAATATTTTTAAAATCCTTACATTTGAAAAACTTAACATCCCTTTTACTTCAAACCAAACAGCCCCTGGATCTTATCTAATTCATTTAATAGTTACTACTTTTGATAAAAACTCCATCATTCCGATAAAAATAGCTTACAAATCATCCTATAGCAGAGATACATGTCTCCATTAATATATTCAATAGCAAGAACAGCATAAGGTCCTCTGGTTTTAAGGATGGGTCGTAGTAATTTGTCCAAAGTTGATGGCAGGGATGTACTCATCCCATGTATTTTGACCTTTTCCACCAGTTAAAGCCATATTCAAAGTAGAAAATAAAGAAATGCAAACAGATGTACTTTGAAAACAATGCTTCAAGAAACACAAATATAACCTGCATGCTCACTTGGAGAGAGCAAAATGACAACAGGCATCATTAGATCCACAAGATTTTCATGTGGTTTAATTCAAGTTGTTTCTTTTAAATATTCTAGCTAATTAAAAAAAAAAACTTACGAATTATTCTATTTCACTTTAGACAGGTAACAACATCAAGTACGACTTGATATAGAAAGTGTTGATTTGGGAATAGTAGTCCAAACTTGCTGCAATTCTCCACGCCAGGACATGTTAAGGCTAGGAATCCCTTCCATCTCATAAAGATCATTATGGTTTGCCAACATAGTTTCTAACTCATATCACCCATGTTTCTTTAAGAACATTACTGGATTTCCAAGAAAAAATGAATATAAATAGACTGACACTGAAACAGTATGACCTGTTCCTTATGGTGTACACTGACTTGAAATCATGACATGATGGGGAAACTCAATAGCCAAAAAGGATTCTTAAATCTGTAGTACTTCGCAAAAACCTAAGTTGTTGCATCTTAAGCAGTCCTATGCCTTGAGCAAGAGCATGTCATGGTATTGAATATCATTTCATATCATGAGTTTGATGCTAGAGCATATACTGGTGAATAGCAAACATCTACAGTATTCTTCCAGGTAAAATCGCCGAAAATATTTTTGAAAAAAAACACCAACAAAAAATATGAGGGACGTTTTGAAACTCTTCTACTTTGCAAAGCTCAAATTTTTTTTTAGCACGATTGTGTTATCTCATGGAAGATCACTTCAAATCATGAACGTGTATGGTAGATATTTATGAATTCCTACTTAGTGAGAATAACTGTGCATGTAAGGGTGTTTCAATTCCTTGCTTCATATATATATATATATATATATTCCGTTCTTAATCAAATCACAACCAAACAACAAAATTGGAGATTACAAAAGTACAAAAAGCATCTACATAAATCAGAATCCATGAAGCATCCTAGGTAACAAAACTTTTAATTAAAAGTTCTTTTGATTAATTTGAATAACAAAAACTAGTAAAGATGTACCAAGCAAATATCAATCATTGACCAGCTGATATAACCTTGAAAATATATTTAAACCTCAGAAGCAATCTCAATTGTCCGCGAATTTATCCTTCTCGGGACTTCTCAAGAAGGATTCTCGTGCTAGCTCTCAAGATGTATCATAGGTTCTCAAGAATGACTCATCTCGGGGAAATTCCTCTTGGCAATTATCAATTTCTATCATATCACATTCAACATCACTTCTATTAGGCCTACTTTAGAAACTTTCCCTAATGTCATTATTTGTCATTAGCATCAAACTCAAGCATTTATCAAAGGTTCTCTGTAGGCGGTATCATGAAATATCAAATAGTTCAACATGCGTAACATTATTGCATCGTATTCATTGCACATGATATGAATGTTTAGCAATTCGATAGTTTGCAATGCTTCAGTCGAATAGCACAATAATTTCAACAGAAAAGTCAACATTTGGTTATTCCTTAACAAGTCTTTCTTAAACAGTCATAATAATTCGGCCAAATTACTGAGAAAGACCACCTCTATAAATACCAAGCCACAAGCATATTTAAAGACCTTTTGAATATTTGGTCTTCAATCTTTTGCCATTGCAAGTCCCTTAAACCTTACAGAAGGTTACGAACTCATCAAAGGAAGTTACAGGATCGGCCATAGGAACTCTTACGGCATCCCCATGACCCTTTTTTTTTTCTTTTTTTGTTCTCTAATATATTTAATCTGGAAGTTACTCTTTGGATTTTAGGAATAATTTCTCCTATTTCTCTCTTTACTGTAATATCTCTCTTCATTATCTCCTTTCTCTATCAAGAATGTTGATGAGTAATTCTCAAACATGTACTTTATTGCTCCTAAATAGTGAATAAAATATCCTCTCAGCTAAGCCCTTAATAGAAATAGGCCACTCAGCCAACCAACATAAAATTCTGTCTTTTGTCTATCTTATGACTTTTCACCTTCCTCAAAGAGTAATCCTAGTGCGATACTTTCCTATTCTCTATCTCAAACTTTTAATGGGCATATTCTACTACTCTTGAGGTAAACGAGTTTACGTCGTTAACAACTGGTGGTAGGAAAATTCCCTCACACTCACCTTCTATAAAAAAATTATTTATCGATAAACTTAACACAAAAGTTATCAAAATGGTATATTAACCAAAGCACCATCACACATATTGAAAAAACATTCATATATGTGGTTTCTTAGTCATGAAAAGCATTCATATATGTGGTTGCTTGATCGCTCCTCAATTAAACTAATACACATTGTCATATTTTGCCCGCTATAAAGGATAAGGATATTAATAACTTGGTGAATGAGGGAGGAATGAAACCATGTTAGCGGTTTATTGATTTTTAAAAATATTGTTAGTTTCTTCTCACTTATATTTGAGAACAAAAAACCATCTACGAAAAAAATGAACATGAACAAAGCATTATACATAAGGAAATAATTCTACCATGGCATGGCAACTAGGTGATGGACAGCAGGTCGTCTACTTGCAAACAACATCTAAAGATTCATTTAAACCGTAAGAAGAATGCTATGCCAAAAATTAACTCGCTCATAATATCATACGTGGTTGATCAACTAGTATAAAGAAAAAGACCCTCACAAAGAACAGTGCATAAGTAGATATTTAGTGCAAGTGTGATAAGAGCATGTTAGGTAACAGGTATTCACTTACATTGGTTTTCCCATCACGATTTTTAACAGTTCTCCACCGTACAATATTATCCTCTAAACGTATGCGTTTCTTTGTTCCCGATTCATCAGTAACAAACACATCTTCGTCTACATATGTCATGGAATCAAATGGCTTTGGTTCAATACCCATAATATTAGATACACGAATCATGTGCATCTGCAAAAGTTAAAATAATTTAAGAAAATGATCAAGATAAGAGAGGCTAAAGAAGCATAAAACATGAAAAGTATGCATACAATTCCTTGAGAGGAAAGGTCAAACAAATGAACTTTAAAATATATAATGATTGTTTTAAACAAAAGAAAAGGAATAATATGTTATCATTCATAAACGCAATAACCCCACCCCACATCGGGTCTAATAAATGGTTGATGCATCAGGCATGTATCTTAACCGGTAAAGAAAAGAGGCTGAACATATATTCAACACATAACCTGTAAGTGGGACAATGTGATAAACAAATCATTGCTCCAGGCCCAACCCTCTATTCAAGTGATGCATTTTTGGAACACACAACCACTGGCCTATAACATTTACAGGAATGCTCACAAGAAAATGCACTAAAGGGGTCTATCAGTATGTGTTAATGATTTAAACATGCCACTGATCAAAAAGTTGGGTTGGATGAATATAACTATATAAGTCAAAAAAAAAAAAAACTGATGCAGGACTATATGCGAAACAGGAAATTTGCACAAAATAGTTAAAGAGCAATTTTGGATTTTCGTTATTAGCAACTAAAACAACAAAATAAAACTAATAAGTGGTCACTTTCGTTTAGGCTAAGCCACGCAAGAGACTAAGCGAAATCAAAACATTTAGGAAAATCAAAGCGTTGCATGCGAAGTAGTTTCCAACATAACATTGGTTTAACAATGAGATCCAAAAGCAAAGAAGTAAAAAACTTACGCTTACTAATGGATGGCGATAATTAAACACAATCTCTTGCTTGAACAATCTCTCTACGAAGTAAGTAGAATGTGAAAGTACACGAGTCAAGGAAGAAGATCACCTTCTCGGAAAAGTGTCTTGATACACCACCTACCTTCCGATAGTTTCTCCTCCATAGCCTTGGTCAAAATGAATAGTATATAGTCGGCGGACTTCTCTATGAATCCATCAATGTTTGGATTCAAGTTGAAGAACGGCAAGTTGAGAAGATCCACGAAACCTTAGCCGTCGTACGCAAAACCAAAATCAAACTCCGGATCGGTCATACATCTTAGACATAGGTGTGTCAACTTTTGACCCGACCCGAAACCCGACCCGGACCCGACTCGAAAAAATCCGGGTTTGGGTCAACCCGTTTGTGAAACGGGTCGGGTTCGGATTTTTGACCCATTTGAAAAACGGGTCTGGTTTGGGTTGACCCGACAGCCCGCGGGTCAAACCGAATTGACCTGTTTCGCAAACGTCCAGCCCGGCGAGCCCGCACAACCGCGGAGCAACGGATCCCGCGTGACCGTGTCCAGTCGGACCAGGCTCGGCGCCTCAGCAGATCCCGCGACCCGCGTCCAGCCTGACCAGGCGACCAGCCCGCACTCGGCACCTCTGCGGATCCCGCGTTCAGCCCGCACAAGCTCCACTCCACAGGCGTGCTCGCGAGTCGCAACTTGGACTCCGCAGCTGCCGCTCGCGTTCCCGCACAGCCGCACTCGGGTCGGGACGGGTCAACCCGAGCAGGTAGGTCTGGTTGAAATGTCCGACCCGTTTGCAAAAACGGGTTGGGTTCGGGTTGACCCGTTTAGATCCGAGTCAGCTCGGGTTCGACCCGGACCCGACCCGTCGACCGGAATTGACACCCCTACCCAGACAAAAGAAGGAGATAACACACTAGAGAGGAAGAGGGAGAGAGTTGGCGCTGGGGAGCGAGGCCGGCGGCTTGTAAGGGGGGGAGAGGGCTAGGGTTAGGAAAGAACTAGGTTGAATGGAGATAAAGTGTGCTAATATCCAAATATGAAATTATTCTCAGGTTTTGAGTAAAAGTGGAGAGAAATAATTTGAATTTGGATTTCAAATGACATGCAATCAAGAGCCTTGAAGGAGCATTAAAGGAGAGGGGCCCAATCAAGGGGCCGGCGGCATGGTGAGAGGGAGAGGGACTAGGGGAAAGGGAATTATGTGTTTCCTAATCCGCTCCGACTAATTAATGAAGAAAATTTCAAATCCGTTCCAATTCAAATTTAAAATTGAAATCTCATTGAAACTTTCCTAATTTGGCCTCGGGCAAATTTGGAAACTTTCACTCATCAACTTTGAATTTCAAATTTGAAAATACATGGGGGTGGAGGCAAAGGGGCCGGTGGTTGACAGAGGGGTAGGGTGGTGGTTGAGGGGTAGGCCGGCGACTAATGGAAAGGCCGGCGGGATGAGGGTGAGGGCTCGGGTTTGTGGGTGGGATGAGGGTGAGCTTGGGTAGGTGGGCCTTTGAGATGGGCTTGGTGGCGGAGATGGCCGGCGGTGGAAGTTGAGGATAAGGGGGGAAAAGAAGGGAGGAGAACCAAGAGCCACCGGTGGTGACTGTTGGGTATGACGGGTGGCCTCTCCTAGGCTCCACCAAACTCTCAAACTTTCTCTCAAGCTCTCACATAAGCTTCAAGAACACAAATGCAGGAAAATTCTTCATAATAATTCATTAACCTCAAAAGAACAAGATGAAAGCTTTAAATAGCCTCTTAAAATGACTTAAAACAAAAGGACTCAAATACCCTCAAGGGGCTACATGACTCAATCCCTCAAGCAAGGGTAAAAAAGGGAAACTGCTGAAATAAAAATGCATCAATAAGGAAACAATAATAATATCAAAAGAACATCGGATAAATCGTGACCGTTGATCTACGGCCACGTCGACGGTAGACTTTCCAACTGATGTCCCCATCATAAACATAAATAACAAACATGCTACTGCAAAATACAAACAAAAGATACCTCTCAAATCTAAGAATATAATATACCAAGGAGTACAAATGTCTTTCAACTTTTTAAAGAAGCAGAGCTTATGGAATATGTTGAATAAGCCTTTTCCTCCCATATTAGTTAGAAAAAAAAACTTAAACAACTAAAGGGATAAAATTTCAACAAATAAAGGGATTGTTGACCAAGGTAACTCACCTGATCAGGTCGACCAGGGGGTGGATGCAATGGAATGTTCATCTCTAATGGGGGACCAATTGGTTTCTCCTTTGTTTTTTGCTCAAGATTCTCATCTTCAAACTCATATTGTGCATCTTCATCAGGCACTATATCCTCTGGCTTCAAATCTTTCTCATAAATTTCTTCCTCTTCCATTGGAGACCTCTGAGACAAGAAAAAATTTCTCAATTACTTGCACCACTACCAAAAACAAAAACAAAACAAATAGTAAAAGCCATTAAATATGCCTTCATGATTAATTAAAAATCACTTGATCATTTTCACACACTTAAGTGTACAACCATGCATCAAACCTTCATAATTTTTTGTCCGTGTCTCAAAGGAGCTTCTACAAAAACATATTCCATGACTCAAGCTACCGGATCTCCAAATTTTAACAAACATAAATGAATGAGGATTCACACAGCAAACTCCCAAACATTTTGGGGAAGGTCAATTTCTTAGTGATGCCTGCTATAACACCTAGTATTACACAAACAGAAGATTAAAACCTAATCCAACATGTGGTTTCATGATCATGTCTACGTTGCATAAAACAATATACCTAAAGCACAACAGTTATGATAGTTGAACATACAAAAAAATAATAATAATGGTGTTGAAAGCCAAAATCTCACATGTGAATCTTGTTCAAGATCGTTTTGAACGCCATACTCATCTTGTTCATCTACATCAGAATCTCCAAACACATCACGAACTGCTAGTTTGTCCTTTTGTTCAACAGGTGAGCTGCTGCAAAAATAAAAAATGCCAGTAGATCCTCAATGGATTTGACACCAAAAGAACCAACCTCAAAAGCAAATAGAACCATAAATTGTTATTGCAGTTCCTTCTAACCATTAAGAGAATAGAAACATAAATTGATGGTTTAAAACCACAAAACTAACCTGGCAAACAAAATGATCTAATAAAACAAGTTACGAAGATCAGCAATTTAAACAACGCAATCCAGGTACAATCACCTTCATCATAAAATCCAACCACTAACTTAACGTGAATGACTATGTATTTGGCAAATCTATTACAGCATTGTTTAGAATGTCAATGCACCACTATCCAGTACTCAGATTATCATTAAAAAATGCAACCGTGAAAAGCAAGAACACAAGCACCTACAAATATATACATTTCAGTCATATACATAAGGTGTTACCTTATGTTCCTTGCATTATCAACTAAATCAACTTCTTCGTCTTCATTGTGAGGATGGGCAAAATGGTTCTCTTCAGAACCCTCGGACTCTATGTCATATACCTCTCGCCTTCTACTTATTGCTGCCCTCTGCCCATATCCCTCATCCTCACTTTCAGCATACTTCCCTTCACTCCCAATCCTCTCATCACTAACTTCTCTTTCTGGTGAACTCTGAACCCTTTCCCCCTCACTCTCCACTTGTTCAACGTCGATATCATGAGCTTCCAGCTCACTTTCCACTTCACCTTGCCCCTCAGCTGCATCTTCACCATCAACCTCACCTTCATCTTCTCCCTCAGCCTCTGCCTCCAGCTCCTGGCCCTCTTGCTCCTCCTCACCCTCCTGTTCACCGTCAACATCAACTTCAATTTCAGCATCGGCTTCCACGTCTTCCTGCAAAAGTCAAATGAATTAAAATAAAACTACAAAAAAAAAAAATCAATTGCTGTATGAAGATGTAAATGAGATATGCTACTGTTATCACTTACATGAGACTATGAGAGTGAGTGATCACTTTTCCTCTCAAAGGATTACATAACATTTAAGTTAAAAAATTATATATATATAACGCAAATCCTTGCTCATAAACATCCCGAAAAAATATATCCAATAATCTATCAAATTAATGGCGAGCATTAAAGCAAAAAACAACAACGCAGAGCATGCGAATGAAGAAGAAATTAAAAAAAAATATCAACCTTATTTTATAAAAACCCCGAACTCAAGTACATACAAAGATTAAGCTTCATCAATGCGTATCTATGGTGGTGAATTCCATCCTCTAAATCAGAAGGAAGCAGTGAATATAACAATTCAAGATTTTGATGATAACGGAAACGAAAGAAAAACTCTTTAAGATCGTAAATACACACCGATGGATAATCCGACTGATTTGCAGCCGCCTCGTGCTCGGAATCAACCTCTTCTTCTTCCTCCTCCTCGGACTGATCGCCGAAGAGGTTCTGCATCATTATATTCCTAGTCTCCTCGTCGGCATCTCTGTCACCCGCCATCCGAAAATCTCTCTCTCTCTCTCTCTCTCAGTCCTCCGTCTTAACGCTAACTATAACGCCGCGAGCTTCGAGGATCTATTTCGCAGCGCGTTCGAATGTGTGACCAGCTTCTAGCCCTAGCGCGTGATTCTTTCTATCAATTATCATGCTATGGATGGTTGGTTCGGTAACTTCGGTTCAGCTGGTGGGACGAAAGCAGCCCGAGTTGGCTGCGTAGACACTGACGGTCCGCTGAACCGGATGAAGCATCTGCATTGGGAGATTTTTTTTTTTATTATTGAAAGAATTATGGGTCCCGCTACTATTTTAGTATATGATACATTCATATAAGTTTTAACCCGTATATACTTCATAAATTTTTGTACATTCAAAACAAAAGCATAAAAAGTCAAAGAAATCGCAATTAAATTGAGAATTTAATTCATTTTATTAAGTAATAGAATATTTATACTTACAAAAAGATTATTGTCTTAACATGAATAAAAAATGTATACATATATAGATAAAATAAAGTGAGAATATCTCAAAAGTACATATTATTTTTTAAAATAATGACTATGAAAAAAAAATAATTCATAGCATTTAGACATGTAAAATAATTAAAAAAAAAGAGCTATGTATCATGAAATATGCAATTTTCATATCTATTGAAAATAATAATACAATGCAAAGAATATGACCTCTAGATATGGCTTATATGTTGAAAGTTAAGGGTTGAAGAGGTAAAAATTGCCAATAATAGACACTCACTAGTGTGCTATATCATCTTTTTATAACAAGAAAGATTGACAATTAAAATAAGTATCAACTTTGGAAAAAGGGCATGTCAGTGTTGTTAGTGATGGTGAGTGTTGGTCTTATTAGCAGTAAAAGAAGACGTCGACCTACTATCAATGATGAGCATCAACATTTATTATCAAGGGTAAGGGTCAATGGCACACAAAGCGATGATTAGGGCTGTCAAAATCGGGTCACGAGTCGGGTTCGGGTCCAACCCGAAATTGACACGACACTGTTCAACCCGACCCGTTTTTGCAAATGGGTTGGTTTTCCAAACCCGAACCCGACCCGCTTCATGTCCGGGTCAACCCGAATCCAACCTGATTCAGATATATTTTATTAAATTTTTTTATTTAATTCAATTTATTTAAATCTAAATCAAATTAAGGTAATATTTACTTCTATTAATTTAAAATAAATCAAGATTAATTTAATTTGGGCAATAATGTTTATAATTTTTTGAAATATCATTTACTTATTTCATAAGAATCCATTAAAACCCTCTAAATTAATTAAAAATGGGTCAAATCGAGATGATTTCGAATTTCCGGGTTAGCCCGAACCCGACTCGATTTTGCAAACGGGTCGAAATCCCTAACCCAAACCCGAAATTTTTGGGTCGGGTCAAATATTGACACCCCTAGCGATGATCACCATCTCTGGTTGCAATGGTAAGTACATCAATGGGTATGATAGACGTCCATTTTGATGTTAATGACAATCATTATCCTTGATAGCATCGATAGATGATAGATGCTTTTCTAGAGGTCAAAGACAGATGAACCTTAGTGACGCATAAATGATAGTAAATATTAGTTGGTTCAATACATAGTTATGAATTCTCTCTTCTTAGATCATTCATTCACCCTCCTTCCATCTTAATTTTTGTTGTCAAATTATTGAATGTTAAAATAATTATAATGATGAGTGAGAGTATCATTCTAATACTAAAATAATTATATATATATATATGATTATGTTAAGAATAAAACATACGAGACATGAGAATTTTATATAAGAAAAATTTATTAATAAAAGAAAATCATGAAGTCTAATAAAGTTGAACCAATGCGAGTCATATGATACAAATGATGCACTGTGCTATAACTAGAAAATATATTAATACAACGTGGTGGATTAACTTTAAACTTTGGCTTACCTTTAATGGAAAATTATTTTTATAATTATAGTGCTACATGGGCCAAATAACAGCCTAATTGTAGTGCCTGAAACTTGGCCCACATATTAATAGGCTTAGGCTTTAGGGGTGCTCTTCTTTCCATACGGGGTCATTGGGCCTAGCTTAAAATCCAGCCCGGAATCCTTCGATGAGGATCACGAAATGGACGGCTTGATCTCCTGATATTAAATCTCCAAGCTGCGTCACACCTAACGTAAAGGAATCTATCGGGTTTATCATCGAATGCGTAAAACGGACGGCTAAGATTTGTCCAACCCGTTCTGGCCAACTAAAATAATTGAGGAAAAAAAAGAAGAAAATAATTTCCCGGCTCTTAGTCCGATCCTGAGCGCCTCGGAACCGAACCTCCCCATCTTCTCCTCCAAGAGTTCGTTGAAAATTTCGCACTAATTCTGATCACTTTATCTCTCTGTGCCCCATTTCTCGCCGAGAACACCTTCGTGAGAATTTTATTTTTAAATCGCTTTTTGTTCTCTCTTCGCTTTGGGAAGCCCTAACCCTAGCTCGAGGAAGCGCGGGAAACCCTAACACCAATTCCTCAGAAATCGACTCAAGATCGCCATTTGAGGAAGTACGAGTAATCCCACTGCCCTCTACGGGTCACCCCTGGAATCTGCTTCATGGATCGCAGGTGGAACTGATTCGCAGAAGCAAAACAGTCTCCGCTGTGTGGATTCTACTCGTGGCTGATTTCGGCTGCTCGTAAGACCTAATTGGGTTTGGAGATTCCGAATTTCTGCACTTGCTTTAGGTTTTGTTCGTGTGGCTTTGTTGGGCGAGCAGGTTTATTTTATTTTATTTTATTTTATTTTTTACTTATGTGGCTTGTCTTAGTGGCCGGGGCTGGGTTTGGTGAGGGGAAGTTAGTAATGGGTGAGTCCGCAGGTTTAGGGTTGAGGTCAAATGTTGTCTTTCTTTGGGTGTGATGGAGCTAAAGAAAGAATGTGGTATTCTTGTTGCTTAAGGTTGTTTTGTCTGCAATTTTTTGCTGCTTGGACTCGCCTGCTACTTGACTAACCGCATATGCTTTTCAACTTAGTTCAAGAACTCTCCCATCTAATTCATGGAACGATAGCTTTTTTGGTAAAAATATATTTTTCTTGTTGTGGCTTCCATGCTTTTCTTACCATTTGTTTTCCCCCTTTTTATATAGATCTTAAGGTTTCTGCTTGGTTTATAATGAACACAGTGGCATCATGGAGCGTGATTTCTAGTGCATGAAGTTAAGTTGTGGCTGTACAAATTTTCTGCTTGTTGAATATTATAGGCTTGGGTCAAGATTGGAGAATATCTATATATGAAGGAATTTCCAAAGAGTCGCAGTGAGGAGTATCTTAAAACTAAGTATGGTTTGTTTGGTTTGTTGTCTTTCTTCAGGAATCTCTTTGGCCTGATATATTTGAGGGCATAACCTGCTGCTTACTTAAATAGTGCAATGCCTAGTCTCAAAATTGAGTGTGTTTTCTTAAGCTTGAGATTCACCAGGAATCCTTCTGGTGTGCAATAGATGTGGATGCCATTTGAGTCATGTTGAATAATAGCACACTTAACTTTCATGGTTTTGCTGTCTGCTTTGGGGCAAAGCTTCTCCCTTATTTCCTAATTGATGGCAACTTCTAAGTGATTTTTCTTTAATTCCCAAATTGACTGTCTCACTCTCACATTATTATGGTGATAATTGGGAACCTGTAATATTTGAGATAAACCGTTGAAAACTGCATCTTAGTACCTTTCTGCAAAATGTTAAGGCATCTTTCATTTATTGTCACCTTTTTTTATAGATCTGTAGTAAAGAAGCACATGTTATGCTTTGTTCATTTTATTTTTAATCTTATTCTTGTCTCATGGAGTCATTAATACTTTTGTATATCTAAGGCATTGGCACATTGCATTACATTCACTAATTAGAAGGAAGTTTCTAGGTTCACTTTTTTTTTTCCGTTCAAGTCTGATTTCTTGACAAAAAGATTTATTGCTACTTTAAAAGGGTGGGGAGAGAATTTCAAAGACTTAACATGCTCTTGGAGCATATTTTTTACTGACTTTTGACAGATTTTTTTTTAATCCGTTCACTTAGCTGGTTGCTTGGCAAAGATACTTATTATTGCTTTTGATATTTCCTTTCAAAGGGTGGGTAAAGAGTTCTAATGAATGAGCATACTCATAGAGCATATTTGCATTGACTTTTTTCATTACTATATTTTTTTCTTCAGGACCAAGAGGCTATTGAAGCTCACAATTCTCATAGATTTGGACATGTTTCAATTAGAAAGTAGAAATAAGAGTCACCGCTGGAATTTAAGCTATTTCTTCTATGTCCGGGAATGAAATTACTGGTATCCACAACTTCTTTGAAGAAAACAGCAGTCATCAATCTTCTTCTTATATTGGTAGCAGGTTCAGGCCATATCATTTCCAGCATCAATCCATGGATTGGTACCCGGGCAATGACTAAAGTGACTCAATCTTCTTATATTGGTAGCTGACACTTCCGGGCCTTCGTAATTATTTAGTTTATGTTTTTGTTCATGAAAACCATTTTGCCAAGGTACATGATTTCATTATTTGCTCATCTGCTTTGTTTGATTAGCTTGGCACCTTACTATACAGTTTATGGTTCAGCTTATATTTTTTAGTTGGTCCAAAATTTGTATGCTTTTTGATATCTGTTAATTCAAAATTCACTTTGCATTAGCAGATTCTGATCAAGGAAATGTTAGGCTACCCTTTCAGACACCTTTTGGCATAGGATCTCAGTTCAGTCTGAAACAACATTTCAATAAAAGCCAAGGCAAAATCCAACAATTAAACTTGAATGACTTGATGCATGTTTCAACAGCTCTACAGGGAAGGTCTGGTCAGGGGAAATTTCAGCGAGAAGGTGCAATTCCTGATAATCTTAGTTTAATGCAGAGAGGCTTAGCTAATTTTGGATCTCAAGAGGGAAATTCTCCTGGCTATGTTTCTGGCTTTCCTGGAAGTTTGGAAAAACCAGATGTAACAGCATCCCCAGTTAGTTTTGACTTTCTTGGTGGTCATCAGCAGCTTGGTGGCCAACATTCTGGAATGTCGCAGCCTCACCAAATGCATCAGCAAGGCCCTAATGACACGCAATGGAAGCAGCACCTGATTGCCATGCAGATGCAAGAAATTCAACGGCAGCAACAGTTTCAGCAGCTGCATTTAGGAGCAAGGCAGCACAATCCTTTTAACCAGATGTTTGGTGCAACTGGACAGGGTGCTGCTGATGAGTTGCCAGGTATGCTGAGTGGCATGCCTGTTGCAAATGCAGTCAACTACATGCCAGCTGACCTCATGGGGTCTCAATCAAAGTCAACAAATAATTCTCATTTGTTTATTGCTGGAAACATGAATTGGGCACAGCGCAGCATACCCATGATGCAAGGTATTCCAAATGGGCTTATATATTCACAGGACCAAGGTCAGTTGATGCATTCCATGGGATTTGTTCCTCGGACTTTAGATCAATCTTTGCATGGAACTCCTGTTTCAGGTAATATGGGATCTCTGAATCATTACTTCCAGTTACAAGGTATGCCAAATGATAGCACATCAGTTGACTTGATGTCAAAATTAGGTGAGAATCATGCAGAAAGGACATCAGTGCAATCATCTGGACTTAATGACTTCCACAATGATCAGCGTCCCATCTCAAATGAAGGTTACTCAGGTGCTAGTTTTGTTGGGGGAAGGCAGGGAGCTCAAGAAAAAACTCTGTTTGGTAATGCTTTAGTCCAAGGTGCTGACAGTGGTTCTGTTTCGGGAAGCATTCATCAATCAAATCATTTGTCAGAAAGGGTTCAAGTTCAAGAATTTCAGGACGGAAGGGCGCAAACTGATTGGTTAGGTAAGTCTCATAACAGCATCACAGCACAAGTTGCCCCTTCTCACATGGCGACTAGTCTAGATCCAACTGAAGAAAAAATCCTGTTTGGTGTTGATGACAATGCCAATTGGGATGCTCCTCTTGGGGTGAGTAGTAGCAAAGTTGCAGGAACTTATCTGAATGGATATCCCATGCAGAATAATGACTGCCTCAATGTATTTCCCTCACTTCAGAGTGGTACTTGGAGTGCTTTAGTGCAGGAGGCATTAGAAGTGTCCAGCAGTGACACAGGTCAACAGGAGGAGTGGAGTGGATTGAGTCTCCAGAAAGTAGAACCACAGGCAGGAAATCATTTGGTTTTGTTGAGTGATAATGACAAGCAGAATGTTGCAAGAGATGCTGAAAACAACCTGCATGATACACTACGATCAAAGCATTTTCCATTGTTAAATGATACTACAGCCAGACATTGCTTAAATTCTGTACCTAGTTCTCAGCAACCTATCAAGTACTCATATGAACAAAATGAAAGGTTAGAAACTGATCATTCTATTCGATCTGTTCAGCAGTTATCCAAGAAAACAAGTGATGCACAATTTGCCCAGAATTATCAGCCGTACAACTTCATTGGGAATAGTTTTCAAGAAAGACAACGGCAGTTGAATGCTTCTAATGATGTTTGGGTTGTCCAGGAGCACCAGCAAGCAATGCAACAGATGGATTCTTCAGAAATGGGATCAAATTCTCAGGGAATTCAGCATTCTTGGATCCAACAACAGAAAATGCCTTTTTACAATATGAATAGCCAGTTGGGTAACAAAATAAGCAGTTGGGGCATCGAATCACCATCTTCTAGTGGAAGTCGTAATTTTAAAAATGATGATAACGGTGACCTGAATCAATATGCTCGAAGCAATGACATAAACACTACAATGAACATTGAAATGGGTCATGCTAGAAACTTGGGAATGTTTGGTGAAAGTAAGGATGCTGTGTCCCTGAGTTCAGTTGGAGGGCCAGAATCGGTTAAATCTGAAACTAATAACCAAAAGATGGCTCGTGAACATTCCTATGTTGCTAACTTAGCTGATTTTATGAATCCCAGCACTTTTAGATCAAACACGGTAATAAATCAACAGCTGCAAAATAGACAGACAGGGCATCCTTTTAAACATATTGCTGGCCCTTTGTTCATGAAAGATAAAGAAGCAAATCAAGTTAATGACCAGAAGCAGCTAAGTGCATGTACACAAGACTGGGATCCAACTCCAGGTCACACCAATAAAGAATCAGGTGAAGCACATGGCCATGCTTTTAGCCACTTGAACACTAGTCATGAAACTGGTGATGGACGAAATGAGAATGAGAGAGATGATTCTTTGTTAGCTCGAAGTGACCATTTGCATTTGATCAGTGGTGGCCAAAAATTCTCTGATCAATCTGATCGAAAATCTTTGGGTTCCCAGAGGTTTCAATTTCATCCCATGGGAAATCTGGAGATAAACGTGGAAACAGCTAATCAAGAAAGCCACAAATCACAGTCTCAAGGTCCTGCTCATCCTATGATGTGGGGATTGAAAAATCAAGAGAAAGAAAATTTTGGAAACTCTCAGTTAGTTGGTCATGTTGCCTCAACTAATTCAACTGACATTGGAAAGGTAATGATGAGCATCGAGTTATAGCTCATTTTTGGAAGCCTTGCTTACTATAAATCTTTATTATAAAGTCTAAAGTTGTTCCTGTTTGTTGTAGGATTGCTTTATTGATCCCAAAAAAAATTCAACTTTAGCAGAATCACCACATACAGGCACATTTTCTGGGCATAATCCAGCTATACAATCTTTCAGCGCAACAACGGCTCGCTTCTCCCAAGAAAAGAGGATTGGTCTTCCTAGGTAACTTTTGCATGGCCGTTGTTATTGTACGCCATATTTTTTATTACATTGCATGTCCGAGAATCATACACCTAAAATGATAGTTGTCCCTGATGACAAGTAAACCATGTTTTATCATTATGATCACATTGAAACTGTAATTATCTTTCAAGATTATCATTGTGCAAAGGGCTACGTGTAAATAAAGTGAGTGCTTAGATTACCTAAAGTGCATATATCACATGAAGCATCACATAATGTTATATGTTATTTAACAACCATCATACAAATTAAATTATGCAACGATTTATGTTATTTTAACTCAATTATTAACAAGAAAAACTAGTGCAATCTAGCAAGCAATCGGACAGTCATTATGATGAGTAATGCATGGTATTAACGCATAGTTGAACCGGTCTTCTTTGACCAGGAAGTGGAGTGGAGTGAAGGCATAATGTGCTCTAAAAAACAACTGCGAAGTGCTTTGAGTGCATTTTGCAGTGTAAGCCTGCTTTGTAGAATGTCACAGGACTTTATAGTTCCTCTTCTATTAAAGTGCATTTTCCTTGGTACTTTTAAAAATAAGGTTATGATTGTGCTTTAATACTTGCTGCAGTAAGTTTGGGTTGTGTGTTCTCTTTTCTTCTTTATACTTTTCGCGTGACCTGCTTTCACAAGGAATTATGGCTAGCGTTGACAAAAAAATGTGCAACTAGCTGCGGGTCTAACATATTTAATCTGATCAATTGCAGTCAAAATGTTCATATGCTTTTTGACAAGTCGGATCAATCAGATGATTGTAGTAGTACTGCCAAACAGAACAATTTTGAAAACAATTCATCGTCTGGTATGCCCGAGGGAGTTGCTTCTGATGGGCCAATATCTCATGTGCAACGTATACAAGCAAATCACCTACACGGCATTGGTTTAAAACTGGCTCATCCACCTCAGAGGCAGTCCGTGGTAGGCAATCCCTTGCTCATGCGTGCACCAGCTGAAGGTACTCCTCAAACATGGTCGTCATCCCCCAGTTCATCTGTATCTTTGCCAACCATTCATGAAACTAATCGAAGAGAAAACTTGGATTATAAAACAAGTATGTCTCCTCAGAACATGAAAGATGCCTTGTATTCAAATACCAAAGGGAACTCATTGGGGATGATAACTAACATAAGAAATCAGCCTGTAGTTCAGCAACAGCAGCTGCAGCAGCAGAGCATTTCATATGCTTCTAGACAGGCACAGTTTGACCTGTCTGTGAATCAATCGTTTGGAAGCAAAGTGAATGCTGATGGCCATCCTAAACATATTCATCTTCCACAGCCACAGGACCCTCATGATAGATCTCTAGCTAATCAAACTTCTCAAGCATTGTTTCCAGGCATGCCTGGTAAAGTTTCTGCTTCTAGATTTGCTTCCTTTCCTGACAATGGTTCACCCTTACCTTCACATTTATACTCCCAACAAAGCGGAGATTCTGATATGATAAATGCTAGCTCCGATAGAAGAAATGTGAACCAACTGCTCCAAGTCGTAGAAACTGTGTCAGCCAATCTTCCTTCTGCTGCATCAGTTGAATCGCAGCAAGGTCACTTTTCTAACTTTTTCAATAATGCATGGAGAAATGCAGCCACTCAGCGACCTTCTGGATTACAGTCTCAGAAGATTCCTTCAAATTTACTTCAGTCATTGAATCCTTTAAGGCCCCCACATCAAGATGATCAATGTGCAAATATGGGAGGAAATGCTTCATCTGAGGTAGGGGCTTGCTCTTTCAATTCACAGCAATTTACCTATGGAGAAGAAAATCCACTAAAAGGTACAAATTCGGAGCAAAACCACGCAATGGGTGTGGATCTATCTCCTAAAGTGGCCAATACATCTGAGGTGCAGGAGCAAGAGTCCAAAAATATCTCAAATAAAAGTTCTGCTGTTTCTATTTGCTCTTCGGATGGTTTTAATCAGCAAGACGATAAAAAGGGAAGGGAAAAAGTGACCTTTCCAACTGTTTTGCCTTCCAGTAATGATGTTCAAACACATAGTTACTCTTTGCTGCAGCAAATGCAAGCCATGAAGGGAACGGACTCTGATCAAAGTAAAATAGTTAATATGAGGCTTAAAGGATCCGAATCTGCTTGCAGAGGATCAGATGCAGGTGCACAACCTAGTGATATGAAAATTTTAAGCTTTTCTTCCAGGGAGATTGAAGAGAGAAGTGGCAATTCATCTAACCACCTTGTTATTGGAGAGTTGGCATCTCGCAAGCCAACTTCCTCTACTGTGCTGCCTGAACTACAGAACGGTTCGCTGAGTAGTTCTGTGCTTAATCTTACTGGAACGAATGCGCGACACCTGGTTAATCCTCAAATGGTTCCATCATGGTTTGAGCAATACGGAAACTATAAGGACTGTCAGACTTCAGGATTGTCCGACAGCCTTGGAAGTTCTCAGAGGAGCACCAAAGCTGGTGCTCAGCATTACTTTTATGCAAAAGCTTCTGAACAAATGGATAATGATGCCATGATGAAAAGGAGATGTGATAGTATCTCAGAGAATTCATCGCCTTCTGCTGTGGCTGCAGATTCTCATTCATCTCCTCATCTAAAAGTGCCAGATGAAAGTTTGGTTTTGGTGAGAAAGAAACGAAAAATTGCCTCATCGGATCTGCATTCATGGCACAAGGAGGTTACTCAAAATTCACGAAGCTTGCAAAGCTTCAGGTGTTTGTTTTGACTAGTAACTGAGAAGCTGCTGATTAAGCTTATAATTGTTTTCGTTCCTATGTTTTGTTTTGTTTAAACGTTTTTTTGGTTGTTCGCAGCTTGGCTAAGATGGAATGGGCTCAGGCTACCAATAGGCTGATTGAGAAGGTCATCAGGCTAAATTTGTTTTGTTATCTTTAAGGCTATTCTTTTTCTCTTGCTGGTTTTTTGTGAAGATCTCATTTAATCTTGTGATTATAGATTGAAGATGATGTTGAAGCTATGGATGATGTTACATCAATAACTCGGCCGAAGAGGAGGCTCGTCTTGACCACTCAGCTGATACAACAACTCTTTCCTCCTGTACCTGCCAAATTTCTTTTCCAGGATTCTGTGATGTCCTATGAGAAGGTGATTTATTACCTTACTAGACTAACACTTGGAGAAGCATGCAGCCTGATCTCAGTATTGGGAAATGATTCAGGATTGCAGTTAGAAAGTAGGAACACGTGAGTTTTCCGTAACTTGGATTTTGTTTGTATGAATTCGTGTTATTTGGTTTAATATTTTGATTTTCTTCCTTTTTTTTAAATTTGTTATGCTAACTTTCTTTTTTATCATGGACCTCTGTTTATCACGCAATCAGATTTTGTAGTTTTATGATTCATTGATCTTTTAATTGCATGTTTTATGTACATCTTACGACCATCTACTAATCTAACTTATTTGTAAGCCCTATCTAGCAAGATACTTAAAATATTTATCTAGTCTAACATAATCCCATAATTTGTTTGCTCAGTATACCGGAAAAAAATGATACACCCAAGAAGAAGCGAGAAGAATTTTTCCTAAATATTGTGGATAATTTCATTTTGAGGTTACGGAGGCTCCAGAGTAATTTTTTGAGGTATGATTTGAATATTTCTTCCAAAGTCTAAGAATCCTCTTTTTGGTGTTTTTCATGTATTCTTAGAGCACCGTTTTTTTTTTTCAGCTTTCACTTTCCATTTTAACTATAACTAAGTTTCGAACTCTACATTGTATTTTGGTTTTATCTAGCTTGAATTTTGATGGACTCTGCTGTGCTTTAGAATACTTGATTCAAATCTAATTTTGTATCCTTGTGTCTTGTAACATATGGTCAGGTTCTCTGCGCTGTGAAAGGTTTCAGGTCATAGAATCGATTATACATCTCAGACTTCAGGAGATTTTCTGCACTTTACCGAGAAGTTTAGCCACCCTTTTTAGTTTTTTTAATGTCTAACATCTAGTTCTTACATTGTTCTTGTTGTTCAAACGCATATATCTGATACTATTCAATTTTATGGAGACTCAATTGTTAGAAGCATGGTAATATTGGAACGTCATTGTTTGTTGTTCATGTTCTCAACCATTGAGTCAATTGAGGAAAAGAGTTTCATTTAGGGATCATGATTTACTTGATATGGTCCTTCTAGGAATTTTGCACTGGCCATGGCAAGGTGATTATACTTGCATTAGACCGAGAGCATGGAATCATTGAAATTTGAACAAAACCACTAAAACTGCTGAAGTATCATGACCATATAGTACTAAGATGTTTGTAGTCTTATTGCCATATTGAGGTGATTAATTGGAATTTGGTTTGGTGTAATTTTCAACTTGTTGTATGAATTGCCTTGATAGAATATTGTGGAACTAAGAATGGATATTTAATTACAAAAAAAAGAAAGATTAGTTTTTAAAAAAAAAACATCCGATTGGTCTAGCAACTCACTATCCAGGGAAACGATTTTAAATGGTGCGGTTCAATTTAATAGTTGATACTAAATACAATGGCCAGAGAGATCAGTTGAAATTATTAGTCGAGTTTAATGCATGTATGCATTCTGATTTTGGTTTATCTGAGGTATATATCATCATTGACTTGTTGTCGATAGCAGCAGAAGCCATTGCCAGTTACCGAGACTGGTTCAAAATGGCTTCAAAACATCCTGCCGTAATTTGTCAATATTAGCTAAGACCGTGAAAGTGATATGTGAGTTTTGAAGGTGGAAATATAATTGAATTTAGCCCTTGTGAGCTCCCACTTCATTCTCTGTAGTCTTTAGGAATATGTGCTCTCCGCTCCCAGTCGTGTTGCCTTGAAAATTTTTGTGAAGATTAATAGGATCTGAACTTATAATCTCTCATTCAGGATTTTTTTTTCCTTGCAACTTGTTGATGGACTTTTTTTTTTTATTTTTACTGTTTTCTTAATATTTTAGGTTGGAAGGTGGTTCCACAGTCGTTGATTTTAGAATGGAATGTCAAGATGTGGAGAGAGGTTCTATTATAAACCGGTTTGCAAAATTCCATGGTCGTGGTCCTGTGGATGGGATTGATGGCTCATCTGCCTCAGAAACTACACCCCGTCGATCATTTCCGCAGAGAAATGTGTCTGTGTTACCAATGCCAAGAAATCTTCCTGATGGGGTGATATGCCTTTCACTCTGAATTTGTCAAGTGATTCTACTTCTATTGTAGTTGCAATCACCAGATTTAGCCCTCCCCGTGCTATGTTGTAGTACGTGATAATTCTGCAAGCAAAACATTTGCCAAATGCTGGTCGGGGAGTACTAATTGCATCTTCTTTACTGGGAAAAAGCCTGAGGCAACCTCGTGGAAGAGCTTTCATCCTTCGGTGCCTTTATATCCTCTTTTTTGCCCCAAGTACAGGTTCCTCGTGTAAATTCTGCCCCAACACCAAAAAAAAAAAAAAAAATCTATGCTTCCATATCATTTTTCACAAAATGGAGAGGAGGGCTTTTAGCATATATTCTTTTGTTTTTATGAGAAATGATCAAGATATTCAGGTTGTAGCCTAAATGAACAGATTCCCTATGGGCTTTTCAGCATCTGGTTCTGGTAACTAGTTAGGAAATATCAAATATGTTCTTCTTGAGATGATGCTTCTCTTCTGTCTTATGGGGGTTTTTTTTTGTGAAAAAATGTGCAGATGTGTGCAGGCAAAAGGGACTTTTTCAAAATCTAGGTTTTTTCACCCTCGACCGTTAACTTTCCTTTTTATATAGAGGATAATATTCGGTCAGTTCATTGTTGTTGCAGTTCAAATTTGTACCCAGAAAGCAATGGAATATTATCATATAAATTGTCTTTTGCCTTTTGAACGTTTCATTGCCAAAGGACAAAAGTATTAATTATTGAAAGTCTCTCTCTCTCTCTCTCTTACGACCGTTTTATCTGTTAGCGCTTTTCCACTGTTGTCATGTGAGTGCTGGTCAATCGTTGTAGTTTTCTCTTTTGATGACTCAAACGATAGTAAAATATTTGGTCTTCTATTATTATTTTAATTTGAGTGCCATCAGTGTGGTTACAGTTGACATTAAATTAGGCCAAGTCCTGCTGGTTGGTATCATGCTATACCTTTTTATTTTAGTTTTTGCAGCAAAAGGCTGTACTCCGTTTGTCCTGTTGCTGTTAAAAGACACAACATCCAATTGCTGTCATTATTATCATCATCATGGGCATAGTACCAATATATATATATATATATATATATTGGTAACTTGGGGGATTCGAGTTCGGGTGGGATGGGAGGAATTTTTTCCGTCAGCCACTTGGCTGTAGACCCGATCTCAAGTGGTACCAACATTTGGTTTGGGATTTATCTAAGTGTATGTGGTTTATGGTATTTATTTTTTGTTATTGAATTTAAAATCTAATATTGCTGCTTTTTTTTTCTTTATTTTTAAGAAATTTTCAACCATTCAAGAAAAAAGCAAGATTATTGGATAGTGCCACTCGTTAGTTTAATGAAATCAATGTTTTTTTATTTTTTTATTTGTTCAATACATTCTTGCTAGGGAGTGATGAATATTTCTCGACTGTGAAGCAGATGGCAAAAGCCTGCCTTGTTCGGATGAGATGGTTATATATATATTATTGCCTCCTACATGGTTAAAATGAGAAGGCTAACATTAGTTTTTATAATTTAAATTTGTGGATAAATATTTGTACGGTAAAACAGTACAAATCAATGGAAGTCAATATTTAAAATTGAATGCAATATTGTTGATTGGATTTCTTTCAGCTAGAAATCTAACTCTATATTTTTTTCCTAGTTTTTTATTTTGTAGTTTATGCTCAGTTGGATATTTTATTGAAACCCTCCAAAAATTTGACATATGGCCGAGCTCCCATTGTCATAAATAATAATGTTTTCTTTGTCTACTCTAAAGGGGAAAGGTCTGTTATAATATTATCATCATAAGCCACCAAGTTTTATGTCCCCACTTCCTAAAGTTTATACATATTTATATTTATATAATATAATCTTCAAAGTTTGTTCACAATGCGAGTGAATGAATGTCTAATCATTCTGTCAAAATGTCTATTCCATAAATCTATACCTCTTATAAAGAATTCAAACGGTCCCCCACAATCTTCCCTTTGGAATCATCCATCCTCTTAGTCTTAAAATTGCAGGAAAAGGACAGATACAGCAATTTCATGTAATCAAAATCTTCTTTCTCATCTCAAACTCACGTGTGACATTTATTAAGGAGAGAGAAAGCGATGGAAGATCTGATGATTCTTTCTGTGCTCAGCCAATCACCATTGTTTATTTGATTTTTATTCATTCCAATTGCCACTATCTCTTCTATTTTGTACTTTCTTTGAATGAGATATTTTTAGCTTGTCATCATCATCCCGTCAGGCTGATTTACATGAATCAATCAATGAGCGACAAATACGATTATGTGGGCCACCCATTTTGGGTGGAGTCCAAAGTTTGATTAATTTATTTTCAAATGTACAAAGACCTGATCTGATGTATTGAATGCCAGGAGTGGCTATGTCAAATTTTCTATAAGAAATTTAATAAAGGCCAAGAAACGTTGAAGATCATTAATTTTTATTTCAATTTTTTAAGAGAGAATATTAGCGTCATTGATTGATGGTTTAAAATTGAGCGACAAATACGATTATGTGGGCCACCCATTTTTATATTTTTAGTTAAACTCGTGATCTACTAATTGGAAGTCGAAATACGGGTCCTTAGTTCACAAATTGAAGGATGATTCTAAGAAGTAAGATGATTGATTAGACAAAATTAAATATGTGATATCAACTTTAAATTGATAAGTCTATCGAATTGAAATAAATATCTTAATTCGTGTGATATGTATTAGATGATATTACCAAATAATTATATTTTATGATGATATTGAGTAAGGCCTTGTTGAATACCTTTTAGATTGGCAAAGATGAAGAGGACATGGTTCGTTAGTCTATATATTTTTTGGTGTAAAAATAAAATAATTTAAGGTTGCTCTCATACGAAAATAAAAGCTCTTACCTCCCTTTGTATGCTTCTACCTCTATTTTTTATGTGTAGATTCTCATAAGAGAGCAACACCATCAAACCTCTTAATTATAAGATCCATTCAAATAATCTATAAACAAAATTGTGAATCAATTGAAACTGTTTTCATCTTTAACCATCATCACGGTGGATGAAAATGTGAATATTATAACGTCCATGGCACATTATTAGCACATTTGAATAACCTAGCATTTTTCCTCCATCCTTCTAGGCCACATTCATCATTCTTCAAAATATGGGGCTCATAAATGATACCATGAAGATGAATTTGGGAAATCATCAATAATATATCTATATGCATAATAACTACAAAGCATAAAGGTGCAAGAAAACAACACAAATTCTTGCTAATACTATAGGATGCACGCTTAGCCTTTATGAAATCACTTAATATCAATTAAAATTAATCCAAGTGTTTGTATTTCTTACATCTTGTGATAAAATACAGTTGACTCTCCAGATTTGACAAAAGGGATCAAGTGTTTATTTATTATAGACAAAAATTTCACTGCATATATTTGTGAGCTCGTCCTCAACCTTTTAGCGATAACCTTTGATCAATTTCACATTGTTCTTATTTTGTTTTGATACTTACTTCTACTCGATAGAGGACAAGATGCACCGCGATGCACGATGTGCTCCTATGACATTTTTTTAGTCAAAAGAAAGTAGGTTTCTCTCCTCAATTGTCATTCCACGTTAAGTTTCGCAACATTCTTCATGCTCTCAATCATTTCTGAAACAACATATGAATTGATCTTAGAGCAAGTATTGATGAAGCCTTACATTAAATAAAAAGAAATTCTTAAGAGGACGAAAAGCTGGCCAAACATAAAGCTGAAAATTATAAATTGGATAAGGAAAGCCAAGTTTTGCTCTTCACCAATAAAGGCAAGATAATAAAAATAATTTTTTTAATAAATTTGGTTAAAAAATAGTCGCAATTTGAGCAATGTAAATTTAGTGGCTATTTGATTCACCAATAAAATTCAATGTTATTTGAAGATATAAGTTGCTTGATTCATTGACAGCTTTGAATAACAATAACATAAATGACACTAAAATCCTATTTTGATGGTGTCAGCATCTAGAAGTTAGCCTATTTTAAGACTAAAAAAATGGCATTAAAAAGAAACATTGTAGTCACATTTAATATGTATTTTATAGATCATATTACATTGTTTAATTAAGATACATTAAATCAAACACAGTACATTTTGTATGTAGATAAACTATTATATGCATAACATCGAGTCTATTAAGACAATTTTTGGAACTTTGGATTTGGATAGAAAATCATTATAGCTATGCCCATTCAACAATATAAAGGACCTTGGCATGGAATTCAATGTACTACGCCAAATTTCACTTTTCAATTTTCAAGCATGTGCTCAAAATGTTCCCTCATTATGAAAGATGATAAGTTTTCAAGCATGTCCAAAAGCTGATATATTTTCTCTTTATATCTTTCATAGGTTATATGTGAGTAGTCATAGATTTCGTTTGGGATAACTTTTCTACTATTTTTAAAGTGGCTTTCTAGTAAAAAAATTTAATTCAAGAAATTTTTGTACTAGAAAACCGCTTTAGAAATCAGAAAGAAAGTTGTCCCAAACGAAGTCTTAGTCTCAATAACTTGTTAATCAATAAGTTGAGAATTAAGCAATCTCAATAACTTTTTTTGCATCCACTAGTTATGTATGCTCCATGTAGCATATAGCATGAAAAAAACTAGATTGGGACATGCGAATGAATACCATGAGTAATCTAGCGACAAATTAAACAAAAAACCAAAAGAACTATTGATCATATGTGATAATCTAAAGTAGAATAGAAAGAGCAAAAAGCATTTAATTAAACTGATAGATCTAAGTCATAAATCCCAAAGCAGGAGATAATATCATAAACAAGCTATAAATTATGAAATCCTCAAGCAAAAGTTAACTATCGCTGACAAAGCCATCTAGTAGAGATAAAGAAGGTTTGCAGCCTTTCAAAATAGATTGACGCCAAGTTTAGTTGTAGTAGTCTGCAAAGATAATTCAGAGCAGTAGCTAGGAAATGAGCTATTAAACATCTACATGATTGCAAAAGAGATGATAGAGCCAAATGAAAGGCATGGAAATAGTGATCTTAAGGTTTATTCTGAAACTTATAACTTTAGCCCTGATGAAAATGAGTCGCTCACAACCATCGCATTAGAATCCAATGGCTATGAATGATTAAATAATACAAACTTAAAGTACGAGGGAAAAAATGTTTGTTTGTTGTTGGTTCATTTAAAAATAAGCTAATAATATATGTTCAGGTTTAGCTTGCTTCCATAAAGAGCTAGTGAGTCAACCTTAAGCTGTCACCAACTATATATATATACCTCTCTTATGTTTATTTTTTGCATATCACTATGCAATTCAATTGCTTTCAATCTCCACACTTCGTTCATATGAGATTGTGGGAGTTACATTTATATGAATGCATTGTTTATATTAAGTTGAGAATTTGAGCCTTTAGAGGTGAATACATCTTTGCAGTCTCTGCTTTTGCCGACAATTGACATTGAAGAACGATGGTAACTTGAGCAGTTATTGAGTAGATCTTGCCGATCTAAAGAGACGATGTAATAGCCAAGATAACAGAGGTAAATATATCTTTTATTATATTAGAAACAGGGATAAACAAGAGTATATATAGATTACATACCTGACTGTTACACGTGTATATCTAGGATAAGATATCAAGAATGACACCAATAGTGATATGTGTAAATCTGAATTTAAATGTCTCTGGCTTTATACTCTAATAAACATGCCTATGAGCGTGAAC